GGTTTTGAATTATCAGTTAGATCCCAGCATAAGGGTCCTGGGACTATTAATGTCATTGATCCAATGGCTGGATATTCCCCAGAAGACCACTAAGCCATTGGACACCATCTTGAAGAGGACTGTAAACAATGCACAGTACATTATTCTATTGTTGTCTCAAGCTCTGTCATCATGTGTACCAATGGGTGTTTCTCAAGGAACATGCTACAGAGGTAGGAAGTTCCAAAATGGTTACAGGGCCACTAATTCAAATCAGCACAGGGGCCAGGTAGATCACCTAAATTATGTAAATGGTGGCTGCAGGGCTCTGTGCACGTAGCTTCGAAAGGTGGTGGCTAATCCATTGTTGCTCTGTAAAGCCACAGGTGTCATGCCGGCCAACTCTTCTGATTTTTTCAGAGCGTTCACAAATTCACTTGGGAAATCTCCTAATTTCCAACTGTTGCCAATTAACTCCAATTTTTAAAAAAATCTAAGCTCTGTTTGGGCCCAAACCAAACAGGTCTCTAGGCTGATTTGCATCTCAAAGCCGCCAGGTTGCAGTCTCTGAGTTAAAGACTTCCACATGAATAGGGGTGGAAAAATGTAAGACTTTCCATATTTAAAGACAAGAATTGAGAGGTGACATGGTATTCATTTTTGTAAATGTCTTGAGACCTATGCATAAGGGGAAAAGCGTTTTGGTCTCAAAAATTATTTACACATCATGATGTCCCCTCCAAGAAAAATGAAATTTCCCAGGAGATCCCAGTGTGAAAACTCCACCCCTTGGAGCAGTAATAGTTCTGCACAGCACCTGAGGACTTCAGCCAAGGTGTCCATGCCGCTCATTTACCAACAGGTTTTATCAATCAGGAATCATTTTCCAAACTGATAGGAGCTGATTCTTGACCACTCTCTCCTCATGCCTCTTCGGCAGGATACCAGAGATGTAGAGAGGCATTTTTTGAATTTCAAAATGACTTGGAATGCTCTTGCCACTTACTGTCTAGGGACTAGGGATTTTTTTTTTTTTTACCAATACCTGGGACAATCCCACAGGGCGGGGAACAAACAAAAACATTGCTAATCTGAAATGCCAAAAGCATTCCTATGAGAAACAGGGGCTGATTTGAATATAAACTGCAAATCACTCATAGTGGAAAGCATAAAACAGTTCAATAACATACACCTATCCATTACCTCATTAAACACACACACACACACACACACACACACACGCACGCACACCACAAGATGTGTAGAATTTATAGATGCCTCCCATCTGGAAGTCAAATTTCCTCATGTATTTTGATTAGGCTGGGAAGACCCCAACGGATCTGGTGCTGCACTGGCAGAATGGAACCAAGGCAATATTCGACAGCCTCAAGGAGAACTCCTACAAAACCTCTCGCATAGCCTCCTTCTAAGGCAAATGGTACCCCTCGCATCCCGTTGTTCTTCACTGGCATTTTGAAGGCACGGCCCCAGAGAAGAGCAACCAGTCCTAACATCCAGCTCCTATCCACCTGTTATAAAGCTGCACCTAATGAAGTTTTGAGAAAGCACAGGGATATAGGTATAGGAATCTCCCTTAGTGAAACTCACTCTATTTATTTTTATTTATTCCTGTTTATTTATTTATTTATTTACTTCGATGCCACTGGTATTCAGATCCTTCATGGTGACCCATTTGGTGAGCAAAGCTTAATTTGTATATAACACTTCAGAGCCTTCCTGTAGATTTGTCCTCAGACCACGTTAACGAGCAATGCTCTTGGTGCCTCCTCGTGTGCACCTCATTGGTGGAAGATATTTCAAGGTGTTTTTAAAGGACACAAGGGTGATGATTACAGCCCCCTTTTCTCCTGAATTTTTAATGCTGACCTTTGGGGCAGTGGGAGGCGTGTAGCGACGGGAGAGGAAACTGTAGAATGAAGGCTTCTGTGAGAAGGACAGTGAAGCCAAGCCGTTGGATGCCTGGGCCTGGTATTTCTTACCAAGTCACATGTTGTACCAAGGTGAAGAGAATGTCATGAGTGTAAGCGGCGTGTCGTGGCAGGTGCGGGCCGCTGGGCCATGCAGAAGTGAATTTGCTGAAAAAAAAAAGATGAAAGTGACTGCAAAGTGTAAATGTGTAAATGTATATTATGTTGTATGTCTATTTTATATTCATAATAAAAGCAAAATTCTAAACCTCTTTCTAAGTGCTTCTATAAGTATGGTGGGAAAGAACCATGTGAATAAGGCCATTTGGATGGGGTTTTTTGTCTTCCAAGTTTTTGGGATTAGAAATGTCCTGTAAAATAGTACCTCTCAGTATTGACCGTGGATGCAGACCACCTGAGGATCTTGCTAAAATGCAGATTCTGATCCCTCCCGTTGCGGGGGTGGGGGGCGGGCTGGGACTCTGCATTTCTGACAAGCTCCCAGGTGATGCAGAGGTGGTGGTTGGTACACCACAAGCACACATTGAGCAGCAAGGCTGGGCAAACCATCATCAGGATAGAGGAGTTCAAGTTCCTCGGGCCCCAGTGGTGGGGAGAAAGAGACCCCTGGTGGACAGAATGATTACTGCAAGTTAAACAAGTGCTCTTTGGGACATTCCCATCAGGGCTAATCTGAGGTTTAACGATTACTGTGGACACCGGCTGTCGGTGTCAAAGGCTGCCCACGAGAAAACACACCTGGTCAATGATTTCTGACCTCCAAGGGGAGCCATTTTGTTGCCAGGTGCTGGACCAGGTGCTAAGACCTGTGATGAGAAAACCAGATTGTCCCTGCCCTGCCTTCCTGGAACAGATGAGTATTAAAGAAATAATCCCAGAAATAAATATATAGTAACGATCTGTGGTAAGTCCAAAGAAGTAAAAAAGCAGAGTGCTGTGAGAGTCTCAGATGCAAAGGCACACCATTTGATGGGGAGGGGCGGGGTGGGGAAATTCTACAAAGACTTCACTGGGGTGGTGACTTTTTTCGGGGGGGGGGGCAGTCTGAAGTGTCAGCTGGAGCTATTCAAGCACAGCACACAGTTCCGGACGGCAGAGAGGCCATCGGAAAGGGCAAGGTCATGGGAAAAGTCTGGCACTTTAGGAAATGTATGAAGGCCAATGTGAAACACTGGCACTGGGGTCCCCCATCCCGAACACTCACCCCAGATCGAAGAACACACGTGGCCCCTTTGCTGTGTCTCCAACACTGAGAGCATGTGCAGGCCTGGTCCATGAGCAGGTGTTCCGGTCAGCTGCTCACGGACACGTAAGTTGTCAGGATGGTTTGAAATATTTTTGTGCCTTTTGTATCTAGTCTCCTAACCTCCCAAGGGCATCAGGAGCTTCAGTCCCTTCATTGTCTCCCTCCCGCTAGGGTCCTGGCTCTAACCCATCACGTCCTTAGGGCTCAAGGTCCTCCTATCTCTTCCTCTTAAAGCACCCACGACACAAGTCACATTTCTCTTGCTGGTACTGGTGTGTCCCACAGCATAACGTGGTAGGTTATTATGTGACCAGGTTCTCTCTTTATGATGCCTTCCTCAAATCCCCCTCCCCGCAACAGCTGGGAGGGCAGAGAGGAGAGTAAGGGATTAAACCACTTTCGAGTCACCACCAAAGGAGATTTCCACTAGCACAGAGGTGGAGGGCATGAGAGACAACACGGGGTAAGTCCCATCCGAACAAGGCCAACTCGGTCGCCTCTGCTAATGGAGAAAATAAACACTTCAGGCCATGCTTTTGCCTGTCTCACAGGTGGTCAACTTTTAAGCTCGTTGTCTTGCCACCTAAGCCAGCTCTTTGCCCACGATCTGTCTCTCGTCTTGTCTCTTCCTCAGTGAAGAGAATGTCCCATTGACCAACAGACGCCTGGTAGTTGTTCTTGCTTCTCTTTTCCTCCCTCCTTTCTTCTAATCGACCTCCAAGTCTTCTTACCAAGTACCCTCCCTAAGTAGCTCTGCAGTCTGTCCACTTCTCCCACCCCAGGGGCCACCGCCCTAGCTCAGACGGCCATGGCGTCCCCCCCCCCCCAATTACTGAAATGGCCCTTGCTGGGCTTCCAGCCTCTGGCTCTCTTCCCACCAGTCCGTTAAGTTGCAGCCAGAGTGATTTTTTTTAAAATGCAAATCTGGTCAAGTCCTTCACCTCTTTAAAATTCTTCAGTGGCTTCCCATTTCCCTCAGAATGAAAACTCCTTAACATTTTTCAAAAATCCTTGAAGTCTGACTGCCTTTAACTCTCTATTCTCATCAATTTCTCATCACTTTCCTCACTAAACTCTGAATTTCAACTCTGTGGACTTTTCAGTTCCTTAAAAAATCCAGGCACTCAGTTTTCTGTTTTCCTGCACTGTGTCAGCTCCCTGGAAAGCTCTTCCTCCCACTCCAAAGCCCTGCACAATTTCTCTTTCCACCCCTTTGGGTTAGCTGCCTTTCTTCCATGAAGCCATCCTTAACCCTTACTTATATTTAGTCCCCCCACCCCCACTCCCCGAAGTGTGTTCCGGTTGTACTTTTAGTCCAATGGTGTCATACATCTACAATACTGCCTTTACCCACCAAGGGGAAAAAAATCCCTCTCTCCCCTTGAGCAAGTAATACCTGCTCACCAAGTATTAAGCCAATCACAGGAATGAATAAGGAAGGAAGAAACGTCCCCAATAATCATTTCATGGTACTGATTATTTCTGTGCACATTGCATATAGACACTATACATTTAGTTTTGTTAACTTTGTTTTCAATTGAACAAGTTATTCTAGACATCTTCATAAATGGCACTTATGTTTCCATTTATAATGGAACATTTAGTCCCATTATTGGGCATTTGGGTTTCCATTTTCCAATTATTTTAGACATTGTTGCAATGAATATCCTTACCCACTACCCTTTATACCCAACCAGCTATTTCTGAAGAAACACACCACAGAAGACTCTGTAAGGTTATCAAATTATACCCCTTCTATTATGTTATTGTCTTTCCCCTAAATCATGAGAATTCTCATTTTTAAAATCTTTTATCTTCCAACCTGATCAGCAAAAGATCCACTTTTGGTGTTTTTTCCCCAATTACTAAAAAAAGTTCAGCATCTTCATGTTTACTGAGCATTTTTCTGGATCAGTCGTCGTTGCCCAATTTTCCATTATGTCAGGTTCCTTGGAAGCGGCACCTGAAATGAGGATTCTTGTGTTAGTGATTTATTGAGCATGCTCTATAAGGCAATGAGGGAAACAGGACAGGGCAGGAGAAGAAACAGGCGAAGATGTGCTTTCAGGAGAAGCCTCTCCTCAGCCTTTTCCCAGCTCAGGAGCATAAATCATGCCGTGGAGGCCAGATGGCCAGGTGATAATACCCTGCATCAGGCACTGGCCACGGGCCGAACTCAAGGCGGTGCATGCGTGTGTGCGTGTGTGTAAAACTTCCCAGGTGATAATACCCTGCATCAGGCACTGGCCACGGGCCGAACTCAAGGCGGTGCCCGCGCGTGTGTTTGTGTGTGTGTGTAAAACTTCCTAGGCATCTTTGGGTAAGGTGACTCCCATCAGCCTGGGCAATGCTCTGGGGAGAGTGAAACCATTAGTACCCAAATCTGAAGCAGCTGGAGGAAGGGTACACCAGGCTGGTCAAAGGGATCTGGTGGACACTAACAGCATTTATCAAATCGCATGTTTTGTTTTGTTATTTAGAAGGGGAGGGCAAAGTGAGGAGAGAAAGAACCTCAAGCAGGGTCCACGCCTGAGTGCGGAGCCTGACGCAGGGCTCGAGCACACCACCTTGAGATCATGACCTGAGCCGAAATCGAGTGGAACGCCCAACTGACTGAGCACCCAAACGCCCCTCAAATTGCATGTTTTTTTTTAAATTTTTTTATTGTTATGTTAATCACCATATATTACATCATTAGTTTTTGGTGCAGTGTTCCATGATTCATTGTTTGTTCATAACACCCAGTGCTCCATGCAGAA